TTGATTACATTGCATCTTACGAAGCAAAACAAGTGCAACAACTACTTCGTCTGCTTAAACGGACACTTGTTGGTCTTACAGTAGCCCTGAGTGCACATACACACACACACACCGCGGCAAAACAGTACCTCTTGCATAGCACACCAATGTCAAGAGCGACAACTGGTTTTTTCGCGGACTATTGAGCGAGTCTTCTGTGTACTTGCCCGCAACCCATTTGGGATCGTCCAACGATTTGTCTGTGCAGGCAGGCTTTGTGTTTCTGAACTCAACATGTACCAATCAAGCCACACACGCACACATTGGGGTCACTGCACCCAACATCTAGGAAAAACGTACACCATGATAAACAAGGATATCATTGCATCTAAACGATGGACAGTGGGTCTGGCAAGCCAAATGAAGGCCTCTTCGTCAAAGTTTGCACGATGCCTTGTCCAGGCTGCAGATAACTTACATTGGTGGTGCGGAATATCGGCAAGCAAAGAAAACAGTGATGTATAGCCGTCATCAATTGCAAGTGATACGCATCGGGGAAACACCAACTCGGGCATTGCCTCCAGCGTGTCATGCTTGTGAAGCCCCCGTTCGATTTCGGCTACACCAAGCCAAGCACAAAAAAGTGCATCACGAAGCTCAAATGCTAAGAACCGTTAAGCGCATGCCGATGTGCAGCCCTGCCAAGCCCTGCTGAGTGCGCAGCTCAGTCGATCTTGCGAGGCTGGAAGATTGTTCCGCATATGCAAATCGCCTATGTGAATCTGTGTCAGTCCTGGCGGTTTTTTTTGGGGGTTCCCTCCAAACCAGCCTGAAAGGGTACCCTCACCATGATTCACTGAAAAACGAGCGCCTTCAAGGGTAGGCAGCTTTGTTGTCAGCTGGGGCCTACGTGTAAGCCGTGGTCTACCCTCCAAATTGGGCGAGCAGGTGCTCAGCTGTGTTCACAACCACTTGCTGCGGATGGGAACCTTGGCAATCTCTTGACTGCCTTAGATCTGCTAATGTCATGCTCCAGGGTGGCAGCACAAAAGCGTGTTGTAACAATACTGGCTTCTTGAGCGTACACATGTTTTTGGCTGTGCACACAATGTTGGATGTCTATTCCGCGACTCAAATCTATCGGCGGAGACCTGCAGCCAACAGCTTCAGCGTAGGCTCTGATTTGGCAAGCTACTTTAGCATCCACCAAACGCTACATGTGCCTGCGGCTCAAAACTCAAGCAGATTCAGCTCCTTCCTCACCGCTGCAACTGAGAGAGTGTGAATTCAATTGTTATTATCCCAACCAGACTGAGTAAGCAGAGACCTCTGCACTAGGACTGCTTCAAGGCATTGGGATATGCAAATGGCACATTGATCGGCAAAAAGACTGTATGTTGCCAACGTGGTATTCACTGAAGATCAAACCGCACGTGCCCTATGGTATGGCATCCCTGTCTAAACAGATTTGCCTCTATTATTTCTTGCGGATGGCATCCATGTCCAAACATAAACTCCAATTTCTTCTGGTATGACATGCACGTCCAAACATGAACGCCGCTTGCCAACTAACCAGCCAACGAGGTCTGCTGCCTTGCCGACAAGTGAAGACGCAACACCTTCTTCGGGGCCAGCAAGACATGAGCTCGTGATGTAAGCCACACATTCAAGGGGGCCTGCAGGTGCGACAGTGGAGCTATGTGCATGAATAAACCGCAGCTGTTTTGGCTGTAATGTCCCCTCAACGGCAGCCCAATATCTCAAGGCGCTGAACAGATTCTGTTGCAAAGCCAGCCTCCAGCAGAATCCAAATTGCCAGGTCAAATACATGAAAAGGGGCACCCGTTCTTGCTGAGCAACACGAACTAACACTGAGCAACCTGGTCTCCCTTTCAATTCATGGCTTTGGCTTGGGAAGCATCTCCAAGCAAACCTTCTGCCCAGCTGCCGGTCTTCGCCAGGGCTGAACTGTGCCAATCTTTTCGCCAGGTCAGCAACTGCCGAGTGCCAGCGAGTGCCAGCGTTGAGACCTCCTCGCAGATCCAACTGGACGAATGTCAAGGAAGCCAAGGAAGCCATAACCGAACAGTAGCTCCACGGCCACAAGCTTTCAGGATTCTCCGTCTTTTGTCCCTCCTACTTTGGGCCGTTCAAGAAGCAAACAGGCTCCATGCGCGGGTGAGAAACCAGTGGGCCACGGGGAAGGCCGTCGTCAAATGCCAACAGCTCCTCCAAGCTGCCAGGATCTGCTCATGACCTGGGCCAACGCCATCCCGAAGCCAAGTCCCATGCAGTGGACTGAACTTGACACGCCAAGATTCAGAACCCCTGCTGGATGCTTGAGTGCGTGTCTGAAGCTTTCGTTAGTGATCGTCAAACAGAAACCTGGGGACTAGTTGACCAACGGAACCATCCAAGCCAAGTTATACAAGTAAGTCAACACATCCCTAGCCAAGCAATCAATCCCAGAGATAGGAGAAGAACACTGGCTGAAACTTGCTAGGGGAGAGGACCCCTCAGCACGGCCGGGCATCCAGCAATCTTTCTATTGCTGAACTCTCCAAGAGGTGACTCGCCACTTTTTTCAGATTCCCAGCTTCTGAGGCTGGCACACCAAAAGCTCCGGAGTCACCTGCTCCAAGTGCTCCAGCAGGAGTCCTGGCGACAAGCCAGGGTCCCACCAAAGCCGGGGAGCATAGATGACCAAATTCCATGGAAGCCATGGTTCTTTGAGGGTCGGCTAAAATGTAAGGTCAGCTGAGAGTCCTACTAGGAAGATCGGCCTGCATCTCACACGTGCCGTGGTCTCACCTCTACGCATGTGGCTATGCTAATTCGCTTGGCAGGATTGTTGAACATGCCTTCCAATTGGATGATGACCATGTCTGTCAACCTCAAGCAGGCAGTCGAGTCGCCAGAAATGCCAACAGATAAAAGAAAATACCTTCACAACCGGCCCATGACAAAGGGCAGTATGCCTGGCTGCCTTTGAGCATGGGTCGTGCCATTGATTCACTGGCCAACATGGAACTTAATGTCGTGGTGTACGTGTCATTTCGTCAGCAAGCAAGCAGGGCTCTTCGACTTTGCCCTGCACACCAAATTCAAGCTTCCACATATATCCATCATCTGTTCTGAACAGGTAAGGTGATGCTTGACTCCGAAATCTGGTCTTTGGCAACCTGCTCTTTCTCAATTCCATGTGAATGACAACGGCCTCTGCTTCGAAGACGATGTGCACCCTTTGAGCCCTTTTGTCCACAAAATTACAGTAGGGTATGCTTAATTGGGTGGCTCTCACCGGACCTAGCCTGGAACGGTTCTTACATCATCCACCTGAACATTACCCCCCCAACGAAACACACATAAAACAAAGAGAAAACATCAAAACAACAAACAACAAACACAAAACAGTGGTTTCCTTTTGGTCCGGTGGAACCGCTTATGCGCTAAATGGCCAAATTATATCTTTGAAAGCCCTGCTGGGACACCGGAGATTTCCCAATCGCCTGTTTGCTGGGCCCAAGCATCCATGCGCTCCCGCATGAGGTCGATTCGGACCTCAGGAGACCGCCGGCACCAACCAACAGGCGCTGAACTCAAGCTACCGAGCCAAGCAGAGGTTTTGTTGGTTTGATTCCTGATCCCTTACAAGAAGTTTGTGCCTTTGGTGCTTTGTTTGACATTGGGTCCAGAATGCAAGCGCTGCCCAAGTATCCCTTGCCAAAGAATCAACCATCGCCATGTGAAGGCTAGCTCGGACATCTCGAGCCGCCTTTTCGCCATTCATCAGGCTGTTGACTTTCCAGATTGCTCCCTTCACCAATCCATGTCACCTGGGTGTCTTAGTCTTTTTCGCGCACCCCCTAAAATGTGGCTTTCCTCTTGGTTTCCCCTTCACCCACACCCAAAAAGTACCCATCAGCCGCGTCATTTCCCGAAGCCGAAGCCTTCAAGCCTTTGCCGGGTGGCCGGGTCCAAGATCCGCGGCTTCACCCAGGTCACGGAGAGCACCTGGTTCACCTTCGCTTCGTTGCCCGCACGTCCACAAAAAGAGTTGAGCTGAGAGGCCGGGCGAAACAAATCTGCAAAGCAAAGTCAAAGTGGGTAAATCTGCAAAGCAAATAAGCAACACACCAGCGCGTGTGATTTCAAGAGGCCTTGGTAATTGCTTGCTGGCCCTAGCTCAAGCCAAACTGCTCCAGGCGTTCAAGGGCGAAATGGATTTTTGACGGCACGGACAGCCTTCCCGCACCCTGTCGTTGCCAAGAATATAATATTACCATTGGAGCAATCTACAGCAACTCATCCGCGTGATATTGAGGATCCACACCCAGCCCTGATATGGAGGGTGCTATCCCCAAGTCGCAACAGAAACAGATGAGCTCATCGATCTGCAAAGGGCCGGCCTCATCGATCTGGCCACGGATTAGCTCAGCACACATGGACTTCATCACCAGGTGCTCCACCTTGCGCAGCTGTGCGCGTTGGCGCTGAAGCTGCACATAGGTTGTCCTAAAATGAGTGTTCTTCCCGTTTCGGCCGGCTAAAGTGAATCAGCCACTTGTAAGAGTTCGAGGGTTGCGCGCTTGACGGTTCCAGCCCACAATGTGCACTACTGGTCAGTTGACGGGTTGGTGCCGAGGTCAGCCGTTATTTTGAAGGAAACACCCGAAAACATAACAGCTCAAGCTTACCTCCCAAAAACAAGCCCTCAAATTTGGTAGATATTCCAGTTTCAATCAGGCAACCCCCGGCGCTACGGCGGCGCTCAGCAGTCTGCCATCTGCCACATGGATTTTGCAAGCATGGATGTTGTACCGGTGTGGGCACGGGAACCTTCTCTGCAGCATCTAGGAAAGCATTTATCAAACATTGGGGCAACCACGTCGACCGTCCGGATGATCTCAGGAAGCTCCCCAACATACATTGCAACCATTCATCTTAGTGGGCCTCTCCCTTCTGTGGCCGAACCCGGCGTCGATTCTTTTCCAACTGCTCTCGTGCACGCCCATTTGGCATCAGCAGTTACGGGCAGGCTCGGTGATAACCATGGGCACCGCCTGTGGCGCATTCGGATGGAAGCCGTTTTGGATGTCCACAAGCCTTGCGACAACTGATTCTTCAACATTCAGCTTCTTCCAGTTGGTCTCCAGTCTGAATCTTGGCTCCGCAACATCCACTTTGCACCATCTTGCGAGGCAGCAAGCGCTGAGCATCAAACCAAACGCGGCCCCGCCCAGTCCTGCTGCCAGTACATGCCGGCATACTCCCAGCCTGGCATCCGAGAGTCGTAAAAGCTGTGGGCGAGCTCATGCTGCGCTTCCCTGAATCTAAGTGGGTGTGTCTTGCTTTGAGAGTACCCCCTGTCTGTAGTTGCAAAGGAGCACCAAAAGGAAACCGGTCAAAAGCAAGCTCTGGACCATCAGTGCAGAGTGCAAAGAGTTCCAAGAGCCTCATAACGCGTCAACCGACAAACAAGTGTAGACCAAAACCAAACAACCATCGGATGTGCTAAGCACATCCAGGTAAAACCTAGAGGGAAAGCGAAGCGCTGATTCAGGCAGAAATGAGACCGGGCATGCCGTGATTGTGTAGTGGAACAAAATGATCGTGATTGTGTGAGGAACAGGTGGTTTATGGAAGATGGTGAGTGCAATGAGGTGGGTGCCACTGATGTGAATACATGTGTTTGTGTGTGTATCTACGTGCACAACGTTACTGTTGCGTGGTTGATCTGTGCGGATGTGCCAAGCGAATCTAAGCACATCTAGAGCACCTCAATGTGGTGCGTGCTTCAGCCACAGCTGAAAAACGTGAGCTTGAAGTGGCTTGTGCCCCGGAGAGTGCTCCATGGCATTTATTGGCATTTGCTGCGTTGGTCCATCTAGTGCCTGCACGTGATGCATGCCGGAGTCGAGTTTGGAACTCTGTAACTTTTCCAAACATTCCCTTCACATTTGAAGCCTTGCAGCTCCCAATGTTGCACGCCTTTGAGTGCTACTTGGAAGCATGGAAACCTGTCATGTGCGGTGTGCGGATTCATCTTTTTGTGCGACTGGCCCTGTTTCCATCACCTTCATCAACTGGGACTGCAATGCATTTACATCCCTGCACGCCTGTTGCTGGCCCTGTCTTGCTGTATTTGCACACTTTGCCACACCGAATCCAGTGGCACTTACGAGTGCCTGCTGTCTGCCTGGTTCATGCTTGAACGGGCCAACTTCTGCGTTGGGTCCAACAGGCGGTGACCGGAAACAAGTGACTCGCATGTAAAAGCTGAATGCCAGAAGAACGAGTGGCATGATTACAGAGAAAAGACATACCCAATGCACACGCGCGTGTATTAACGTATATCTCTCCGTATGCAGTGTATGTCATATTCAAAACAATAATACATACACAAGCATAGCCTTTTCTTCTTTACTCTATTTGTGCTCCGGATTAATCTATGGGGGTGTCTTTTTTTGGGAAGCTCCTTTTGGTGGGTTCTGAGGGGAAACAAAAAAGACACCACCCACTTTGAAGGTCCCCTATTTTAAGACACACCCCAGTACATGTATTTCGATACACGTGGACATGCAGAAGTCCGAAACTCAGGAGATCACATCGGCGACACATGCAGCAAGACACACAGAACAGGTCCAGCCCAAACGCTTGCCTATCCCGTAGGCTGAAGCCACATACCTTGCAGAGTGGTGGAATTGCTTTGAGCGTCGACGCAAGGCAGATTAGCCATTTGAGTTTGTCTCAAAATTAACCCTCGCAAAAGTGGGTGGCTTCCCTTTGTCGCCTCTTCAAAACCAACCAACAAGGGGTTCCCACAAACGACAACATTTAGGACTTCCCAATCTCTTCTTCACGCTGCAATAAGACTCCGGCTCCCAAGCACGGTACTCCCCGGAGAGTTCGAAGCCCACATAGTTCACCAGCTCCTACGAGATGCGTTGAACAAACCGCTGCCTGTCGATGGCCTTCTTCTTTCAGTTGCACTGTGGGAGTTTCATTCTTGCTGTCTACTCTTTTCTAGTTTTTGCATTTGCACTGGAGTTCTCTTTCTTGACCCCGTTCAGGGACTTTCACCCAGGGCGTATCGGCAAACAAGCGAGCAAGCAGTGCTAGGAGCTTCTCAAACTCAGATATCTGGCAGTGTGAGGGTGAGGTATGTCAAACCTGCCTTCTTGGCGGCCAGAGGCTGGTGCGAACTTCGAATCTACCAATCTCTCGCCCAAGACCCTCTCGTGGCTGTGACCAATTTCATTCCAGCGCAAAAAAAACACAGCTTGCTCGCTTTACCACTGGAGTGCCCCGGCATCGTAGACCAGGATGGAGCCAACCGCAAGCTGGCAGGCGATTCTTGACAACACCTGCCACAAGCAAGGCGAGGCATGCGGCCCCACATTAGCTCTCCAGGCTTCTACTTCTGACAAGACGCCACTGAATGAGAGGCCAAAGGAGTCAGTCACGCTGTAAGAATCAAGTTCACAGAAATGATGATTCAGTATCGAAGGTGCCAACCCGCCAGACCTGTCAAAAGCCCCTAAGGTGCTATGCGAATTCAAGCGCTATGAACCAGTCAGTAAAGAAGAGACTCCCCTGTACAGCAAATTAGCAGTCGCGTGTCCATGCCGCCGCCTCCACCGCTGAAGGGAAGATGTCCACGTCGATGTGTGCGAAAGCCACTGGCCTGATGGAGCAATCGCTTTCCAGACGCTGATTCAAATGGCTCCGTCAAGAACATAGCCCCCCTTTGGAGGGGCTCCTGCCCTGCACATTCCAGCATGTCGAAGCTCATGGAGGGGAACATTGGGCGCTCCATCAGCGCAACATGAGGTCCAAACAAAATACCGTGACTTTGAACGCAGTTTGGCTCACTATTACCAGCATTATCTCAAGGCCATGCAATCAGTGGTAGCCAAATTGAAAGTTGCGGCCCCGGTCAAGCACAATTGAAGATCTATGAACCTTAGTCCATGCTTGCTGGCTAAACGGCACGGTCAGGCCTGTATCTGGTGGCTTTTCACTCGTATTCACGTAAGGCCCCGGCGTGTTGCCAAATCGATCGAGGTCGCCTCTGCAGAAATGGTTCAACTAGTGACCTTCGCCTTGCCTGTAAAGAACCTGGTTGGCAACTGTCTGATTCTCAAACGCACCGCTCTGTGCACCCTTTGACCCTGTACGTCGGTATTGTCGTCCTCGACTTCCGAAAGTCTGTGCCGTTGCCATGGGCCTCGTGCAGAGTCACGTGCCCATCGGGCTTGTCTGTTGCATTCGATTGCAGCAACCGCACAACGTTCTGGTGGTGTCTGACGGCCAACTGCACGGTTGTTTCTCCATTCTGGCCCGCCGGATCTTTGTCACATCCTGCTTCGGCAAGCAGCTCACTGCTTCCGGTCGGCCAAGCTGCGCAGCTACATGCGAGGGCGCATTCCCATCATTTGCCCTGTGAATGTGCGCGCCAGCCTCTAGCAAGCGGCGAACGAGCTCCGTGTGTCCAAGTGTCGCAGCAACATGCATGGGTGTAATCCCTTCGTTGTCGAGCTGATTCTCGTCAGCACTGCGCCCGTCCTTGTCGGCCCTGTCATTGTCTGCGCTGGCTTTCAGCAAAGAGCGCATGAGTTCCAGGTTGCCAAACGCCACAGCAAAATGCATGGGGGTCATCCCCCTTGAGTCAGCACCAGCCTCCTGCAAGCAGCGAACAACTTGCTGCCCGCCATGTTGCGCAGCGGAGAGCATCGGCGTAGTGCCAGAAATGCTGGCCTTGTCCATACCAGCGTTGCCATCCAGCAAGCAGCGTACAACTGCCGTGTGCCCATTCGCCGCAGCGACATGCATGGATGTGCGCCCATCATAGCTCCTCTGCCTGTAGCAAGCAGCATGCAACTGCTGGCTCGCCATTTTGGGCAGCAACATGCAAGGGCGCGAATCCATCATTGTCTGTCTTGTCCTTGTTAGCGCTGGCTTGCAGTAAGCCGTGCATAAGTTCAACGTGCCCACTTTCTGCAGCAATATGCATGGGCGTAATCCCCTCATGGTCGGACTTGTCCTTGTCAGCCCGAGTTTCTAGCAAACATTACGCAAGTCTGTGTGTCCGTGCGCCACAGCCAAGAAAATGGCCGGCGACCATTATTATCAGCCTTGACCCTGGCAGCCCCGGCCCCGAGTTCCACGACAGCATGCAGTGGCGTAATCACGTCATTGTCACCCCTGTTCTGGTCAGCCTCACCTGCAAGCAAGAATCGCACAACTTCCAGTTGGCCACGTTTTAGACCGGAAAGCAAAGGCGCAATGCCCTTGTGGTTGGTCTTATTCTTGTCAGCGCCGGCTTCCAGCAAGCAACGTGCAACTTTCAGCTGGCCACGTTTCACAATAACATGCCAAGGTGTATCTCCATCATGGTCTGCTTTGTCCGCGTCTGGTCTTGCTTTCAGCAAGCACTCTAACATGTCCGCATTTCCATATTTCACAGCCAAAGAAACACATGACTTTCCAGCACGGTCAGCTGTGTCCTGAGCAGCACTGGCCTCCAGCAAGCAACGCACAACTTCCATGTGGCCAGGTCGCACAGCTGCGTGCAGTGGTGTAACCCCATTTTTGTCGGGCTTATTCTTGTCCGCGCTTGCATCCAGCAAGCATCGAACAACCCCAAGATGCCCGTGAGCCGAAGCAAACAAAACGAGGGAGACACCATCATTGTCGTGCTTGCCCTCCTCAGCGCCTACACCCAACCAACGCACAAACTCTCGATGTCCAAAATCAGCCGCAACATGCATGGGTGTGTATCCACAAGTGTTCGCCTTGCTTGTGTCAGCGCAGGCTTCCAGCAAGCACCTCCCAACTTCCTCCTCACCAATCCGAGCGGCAAAATGCAAGGGTGTATTTCCGTAAATGTCGGCCTTGTCCTTGCCAGCCGGCTTCCTGCAAACCACGCACAACCGCTGGATGCCCGAATTCCTTTGCAGCATGCAGGGGTCTATGTGTCAGTATCGCCCATGTCCTTGTCAGCACCAGCTTCCAGCAAGTTGAACACAACTTCTTAGTGTCCGTGCTGTGCAGCTTCTTGCAATGCTGACATCGTGGGTACCCGGACAAAAGGTCGTTCCAGAAATGATACAAGGTTCACACGATTGCCGTTGCTTCCTGCGCCCAAAAACTCTGCGATATCATCTGCGGCTGCCGTGATGTATTGCCGCACAACTGCCATCAACTCCTCGTTTTTCCACGGGTCCTCTGGTCTCAGCTTGTTCGCGCCACATGCTAAAGCAAGCCGTCTAAAATTGCTGATTTGCAGTCGGCAGGCCAGATGTCGCCTTAGCACGTCCAGAAATGGTCGCATTGATTTCTCGCAGCTCTGGTCGCAGCTTAGCGCACTGTAGCTTGTCAACAAGCATTACGTGAATCAACACTATCGGTGTGACCTTAGCCGACATTGATTTGTTAGATATTCGGCAAACTCGGAGCCTGCAATGGTGGGCTGGCAAGCTCCAAAGAACACTTTGAAGAATGACAGCTGGGGATGGCCTGTCTTTCCATCCACCTCTCTCGTTTCAGGAAAATCGGGCCATGTCAGCCCTGTGGTCTTTGTCTACTCTCTCTAAGCTGCGCTTCGCTCTCCAAGACGTACGCCACGCACCCTTAAGCCGACCAGCCTAAGGTCTGGGTGAAGAGCCCCACGTGAATCTGAACCTCAGCGGATTTACATCCCGTGCTTCGTGTGGCTTAGCTTTGGTCAATGGAATTGGTAGCCGCGGCTGTGCTCTTGCGAGCGTAGCTGGCACCAAATGATCATGACAACGATGTTTCAGCGCTACCATAGGCATACTCTTGGGTAAGGAAGGCAAATACCAAGTTGAATTGAAATCGCAAGCGACCTCTCTTGCTGGGCGGCAGGAAGCAAACTTGGCGTTTCAAACGCTTTCGTACACATTCACCACTGTTCATAAGCCCTGCTGCGTGTACCAGGAAACAGCGACTTTGGCCAACCCTGAGAGGAGATGGCGCAGACATGGCCGTGATCCTTCAAATCTCCGCGCACACCTAGGTAAGCAGTACCAGTGGCCGCTTCTGTATTCGGTTGCGAGCAAAGAATAAAGGACACTGACCACTGGGAGGTGCCCTAACTTTGTCACACCCACGCGCGCACAGGGTCTTCAGGGCATTAGCTATTGAAGTGGCGAGTTCGCAAAGACTTACCAAAGGTCTCATAGTATCTCACATTAGTCATTCATCAACGAGCCACTTGCACTTGGTTTTTTCGTCACTGTCCCTCCAGATCCGTGCGCGGGTTGGGTGCCGGGCATTGCGCATCTCCTTCAAGTGCTCTGGGATCTGGCCATGCACGTCGCAAGAGGAAGGTCCAAGCCAAGACAAAGAGCCTGAAGCCTATAAAGATAAGAAGTAAGGATTGAAGAGGACAACTTTGACTAAGGGTCGTTGCCACACTGAACCCCTTTTCAGAACACCACGCCGCGCAACGCTCTCTCTGACTCCTTGGGCAAGTCTTTCTCCAGCTTCCGCCTGGCAATCCTTCGGCCCGCCTCGCCACCAGTTGAGAAGGTCCCAGCCGCCAAGTGTGTGTGATCCCAGTCCGATGGCAGGCCCTAGCGCAAATGGCAGCATGTTGCCGGGAGGACACGCCCAGTGGGGGGGCTTGCAGCTCGAATGAAGCACGTGCATGTGCCAAACTTCTCGCTTCTCACCTTAGCATCTCCACTCATTGCTGCACAACCCTTCCTACCACCCCAGAAAGAATGTCCCCAAGCTGTGCGCATGCCAACCTGGCATAGAAGCTGGTGTTCATCCACCCGCACTTCTCACGCCCCATATGGCCGATTCTCAGCTCCCCAGGCGGTCCTGGAAGGAGTCGAAGCCGTGCAGGGTGCCTGCCTGCGTGCCAACGAGCTCCGGCCGTGGTATTGATAACTTTGGCTGCGAAATGGAGGGAACACATGTTGGCTGCTGCCAAGGGACCTCACGGATCAAACATGTCTCACGAGGCCCAAGCAAACTCACCATACCTGGCATCAAAGTCGTTGATGCCTTGCACCCCTCACAAAGAAGCTTGCAAAACTCAATTCCCTGATGCCATTCAACTGAGCTTCCCTGGAGGTTTGGGGACGGAACTCGTGGTTGCGTTGCAGAGTGACGTCTTCACAAAACCAACACAAACCCAGCAAACTTGATAACCCCCAACGGGGTTCCCCGAAAAGGAGATTCCTTTGGGTGGATCTGCGGTTCCATGCCGAACGTGGATCTGCAGGGAAGAAGGGACAAGCTGGACGGGTTCTGTTTGAAAAGCATCCTGTCGCCGGTGCCGCGCTTTGCCCAGTTTTGCTGTTCGCGACCACGCATTTGCCCTGTGCCATTGAGTTTTAATGACACCTTTGGCAGCCTCGTGAACGAAAAACATCGCGCTCTTTTGCCAGGGCAGGAGCTTGGGAGCATCTGATTGGGAAGACTGACCAGGAACCTGACAGTCACTTGACACGGAGTTGCTCCAAGTCCCTGCCCACTGCGCCGATCGCATCTTCCCTCGCCATCAGTCACCGCGCTCAGAAGCCTCTGCGCTCCATGGGCCACTCCGCGTAGGGCATGGTGTACACCCCCAGGTCTCGCGCCGGCGGTTCCGTGCTGATGCCGAAGATCACGAAGAGGCTGTTGGGATCCGCCAGCTCCTCAAGCAGACATGTCCATGGGATTCTGGAAAAAAAAGAGCTAACACGGAAACTGAACCGTGCCCCTGGTCCAACACTCCTGCTTTTGCTTGTTGATGATGTTAGTTATGCTCGGTTATGCTGAGCTGAGAGGAACATGTCGCGTGAGCCTTAGGCGTTCCCTCGGACACGCGACATTCCGAATAGTCATGGCCCATGGCTTACAACCGCTCCATACCTTTTGCTATGCAGTAATTCAATGTTCCAGACTTGCTTGCAGCACAATCAGGAAGACATGGCCTCATTGCCCACGATCCTGGTGAAGCCCCTTCACGTTCGATTGCCATACATCTATGCACTGATCCATACAAGCTCACCGATTCCAAGGCCAAGGCTTCTCAGACGACCAGTGGCATGAGCAAGTGTACGCCTTTGACAGCTCTGTGAAAACCGCCCAAAGTTTTGTTTGCGTCGTAGTCCATGTTCATCCTTTTCTTGTGTGTTGAGGGATACATAACCGCGGGCTGACTTTCAAGTGCAAGGTATAGCCTGCGACAAAAGATCAGGTGTACGAATTGACAGCCAGAACTAGCTCAACCTTCATATTGCAGCAGTGTTCACGGCCTTGGCTTACCAGCTTCATTGAACAAACCTTCACAGCACTCATAGCTGCAATCAACACACATTGACAGCCAAAGATCGGGCAAACACAGAAGACAACATCCCCGTGACAGCGATCTGGCATGAGACATGAGCTGCCCTGCACACTCGACAGCGCGTTGCCCCTGCCCCAATGCACCCAGCGATTCCTTGGTCATCAGGGTGTAGCAGCGCTTGCAACAGAAGTCCCCGATCTCCGACCTCACTTACCCAGTGTTCCGAAATCAGCCGTCAACAGGGGGGAAAATATGCCGATGAAGCAAGGGAAACTTTAGGCAGGGCGAAGGGGGGGGGTGAGAGGGGGACCAAGGGGTGAAGAAGGGGCGGCCGAAAAGGGATCCATCGAGGTGCTCCATGATGGTGGCCCGGTCCCCTCCCAGCTGCAGGTTGCACCACCGGCAGGCCCGGCTGATCACCACCGTCAGCTCCACCACGCCCCCGCGCCGGAAGGTGCTGACCTCGAGGTGTTGGCAGCTCCGAGTGTTTTGTTTTTGAGGGTATCCTTCTTCGGGTTGGTTCAAAAGGGAACCCAACATGAAAGCCAACATTTCGCAACCAGACCATTTACTACAACGAGAGTATGACCCTGGTACACCCGCAAGCATGACAACAGGGCTGGAGAGACCACAATGGGCTGGAGACGCAAACAGGGCAAATCTTGGCCATCTGCTTGAGTTCGCTTTGGCAAGGGCTCAGAAGGGAGCCTTGACGCCTAAATTGCTTAAAGATGAGGGGCAACTGCAGGTTGGGGGTCCCCTGGTTTTGAGGCACAGCCATACTACAAATATGTCGACCTCCGTTCCTAAACCACCTCTATATGAATGGTGTCTAGGGTCTTCCCACCCCCAAGAGTGATCTTGAGAAGGGAAGTCCCTCAAATTGCAACCCCCTTTCTGCGAGGCCCATTTTAGAGCTCTCCCGGAAGGGCCTTCTCGAGCACGTCCGGCTCCACCGTGGCATTGTAGACCAGCTTGATCTCGTGAAACTTGCGGCCCAGCTCCTTGCACAGCCTCTGCTTCACGTCGCCAATCATAGCCTGGCGCGCATGGCGAGTCAATCGAAGCCGACACCGGCATACTCTGAGATTCCTGGGTTCAAAGGGGAAGGGAAGCCAACAAGGGCGCTACCACAACCCAGTCAGCAGCTTCCAGCATCAATCTTCGCCTGAATTGGGGAAAATCGGTTCCACCAACCAGATGTAGACAATTTCAAAACCGAGAGGATGCCTGAACCCACCAGTTTACAGCCCGAAACCCCGCGTCTGAAATCGACTCGACTCCGCTTCGGTTTTAAAAAGTATACGGCCGGGGGGCGAATTTGTCCACGTAGAGGTTGCAGAGCTGGCCTCCTAAGGTCCGCACGCGCACCTCGAAGCCATGGGCTCCCACCAGCTCCTCGTAGGCCATGGCTCCGTCCCTCCCTCGCGACGCCGGGAGACACCAAGGCCTTGAACCAGAAGCTCAGCAAGTCGGGAAGGGCCCGGCTGGCCGAAGACAGAACATGCAACTGGATTGAACGCAAATACCACAAGGTACGCCATGTCAAATCATGTGTGATCACTGTTGTGGACAGTTAACTAACTTGTATGGACACACATGTGTTACTTGCATTGATAATCTTGCAGCGGCCCTCAAGAGCCGTTCGGAGGCTCAGTGCGTGGACGGTGTCTCTATTAGCTATTGACGCAACCATGGAATCAAACATAGACAGCAACATTTCGCTCTGCCGAAAGTACAACTGCTTGGGTGCCCAGTGGTCGCTGGAAAAATATTCTGTCAAAGATGGCAAACGAGCTGAAACAAGCTCACTGAACAGCTTGTTTGCAGTGCTTGGGCACTCACAGCCGCCCGAATCAATACGTGTGTTTGTCTGCGCCTGGCCGAGCAAGGCCTGCATGTGGAAGGCAATAGCCTCAGAAGTTGCTGGGACATTCAGAACTGGACTTCATGGATGGGCTGCTCTGCATCTTTACATTGCACAGCATTTTTGCGCCTTCAGGGGTTGCTGCCCCAACACGTCTGGATCCTCAAACTTTGAATTTCTGCGGCTCAGGGCTGGACAGCGGTTGTCTTGCCAGACCCCACGCCGAACTCCAGCCTCGCAGCGGACAGGCGGCTCATGCTGTTGCTGTTGGTTTTTGCAAGTTGATTAACAGAGTTAAACATGAACCCGCCAGCACTTAGAACCCACAAGAGATCGGAAGCGAACTGTGGCAACCTTTCAGTACTGGGCTGCTGGATTCACGGGCCGGTGGTGCTGGCAGGCAGTAGCATAATATTATCATCCCTGAAGATCAATGGCACTAAAGGGTGGTTACAAACACCGGCTGCTGCAGTGGGTGGGTGAATGGATAGAGGGATGGATGGACATCGCCTAATCTGAGTGCCCTGAGGCAAAAGCCAAAGACCGTGCGGATTCTCAGGCGAAGGTCGCAGGCCGTACCTGGAGAGAAATACTGCTTGCCACTCTGCAGCTCTATATCCCAGCAAATGAATTGCAGCTCAGCGAAATATCAGATGACAGGCTAGCCGCGCTATGTTCCCAAGAACGCCAAAAGAACGTCCAATAGAAAACAAACTAACGCTTCAGGCTCAGTATCAAAAGTACGGCATTAAACAATACGGCTAGGCCAAGGCAACTGAGCCGAGTCACCGTTCCGGTCGCGCTGCTGGGGATGTGGACGCGCTGTGCACAGCTGCCTGGCAAATGCGAGCTTCTGGGAATTTCACTGAAGTGCTTGAAGAGAGCCGTTTCTGATTTGTTTGGGGGTGTCTCAAATAAAGCTCCGTAATCTCCCTTAAAACAATATTTTGGGATTCCCTTGTGGATATGTTAAGTGTCCGTGAGGTCCGTGAGGTATTCTCTAGAACCTCCACCTGTGATCCTTTGCACGAGGCCAGTGCCTTGGTGTTCAAACAAATCTTGCCCCCGAGAACTGGCCTCAAAGGTCTCCGCTTTATTGCCCTCCACTGGAGGGCACTGCCAAGGACAAGAGAGAGCGCCAATAGATTGACAGGGTGGGATGCCTGTCGGGTGAGCAAAAAGCAATGTATTCCAGGGTGTTGAGAAGCGCCATGACGTGCGTATTGCACGCCTAGCAAGAATACTGGAGGACTGACTTGATGCCCCAGGTGCTGAAATTGCTAAAAACTTTTCAGCCTTTTGATCGCGCCCCTCACAACATGTGGGTTCCAGTGCATAATGCACGGGCAGTGCACAAAAGGCCTGAATTGTCCGCGGGCTTACTGGTATTCCGTGCAATGGCAACTGGGAACAAACATCACTATACCAAGATCCGGCCTTTACCCTTCAAACGGAGATCCGATCCGTCTCTTGCCTGCATCAAGTCGAGCCAGCAGCTGGTCGGATGCACCTGGATCAGGGGAAGCCCTGACGGTGTCTTGTCAACCGATTCAAGAAAAAGCCCGCTTAAATAACTAATTTACTTGCCCTCATTAAAAGCTGTATCTTCGCTATCTGTCAGATTCAGACCCGCTGCCAGCCCTATCCATGGCAAATGGTAACTGCCCTTGGTCCGTGGACAAAGCTCCAAGAAGAAACAGGACGTACGAAGAACCCAAACTTCTCCCTTCAAGCAAACAACCCACGCTCACCTGAGCCTGCTTCCCCCACCAGTAGTTCTCGCGATTCACATAGAGCAACCGCAGCTGACTCGGCCCGCCGGCTTCAAAGGACGACCGCGCAAACAGTGGACTTTGCATCATGCACATGTTCCCAGACCTTGCGAGTCACTGGGGTTGAACCGTGTTGAACCCAGAAAATTCCCCAAGCGGTCTAAAATGACATCCGGTTTTGCCGGTGACATCCTGCTGATTGCGAAGTCCTGGCGTGAATTGGTACAATGGAGACTTGGGTTGACGCGTTACCAACTGCCGGATTGCAGCTCAACACGCGGAAGACACTACTTTTATCAACAGTTCCGTTGACAAGCCCCATGTTGATTGACATTGCTTGCGGAAGCTATGCATAACTACGGTGCCTGCAAATTTCTGGAAAAACTGCTCTGCGGCAATCTGGCCAAGCGCAGCTCTGTTGAGATGAGGCATCGTGTTTAAGTTGTGTGAGCAAGCTTCACAATCACAAGCACGTTCTTTGCCACAAGCACGAGTCACCTCGATTTTTTTGCCGAACTGATTCGTGGCCAGTGGCCACGGTCATGGGCAATCTAGCCAAAACTGGCCAAGCATTTTCAGAGTGAGCCAGTCAGAAGACGGGACGACAATTTAGGAAAGCTCGCTTTAGATCATTTCGAAAGCCGATCGTGGTTTCCGACAGCTCGGTCAAGACATGGCTTGACAGCGGGTCCGCTTTTGTACATGTTTGCAAGGCTGTGGGATGAGTGTAGGTGTTCCTCACGTCCTTCATGGACCGTAGGCTCTTGACTCGAAAGGGGCAAAGGGAAAGGTCTAAAATGACAGAAATCAATCTGGAGAATGCGCCAAGTCCACCGTGGTGCAATACGAAACCCTTGGATTTGTAAACCATAGAAGAAGTCAGCTAGCTCCTTCTGGATTTGTAAACCATTTGTCCTTGTTTCTGTCTGTCTTGTCTGCCTGCTTGCTTGCTTGTTTTGCTTGCTGGTTTCAGCCAGCCTCCCTTCAACCTCCTGGCGGCTGGCGGACCGACATCAATGCTGAGGTGACGACGTGTACGCGGCATGCGTAGCAACCTGCCCGAAGTGGAGCAATCGAGCTCAGCCCATGCTAGCGGCAGGCCGAAAGGTTCTCTTCACGAGGACCCTCTGTCAGCTCTTGGGGAAGGACCTGCATCTTTTGAATTGGCCACCGGTTAAGACAAACATGGGAGTCAAATGGGGACGCAGCTCACCATACCCCTCACATGAAGGCCTTGCATTGAGGTGCCATGTGTGGAAGGCGAATCAACTACCACAAGACTTTCCAAGTTGGTTTCAGAGAAGATGCCTGCCACCGATATCACTCTGGTTGGTTCCCTCTGGGCCTGGGCAAACCACTGTGTGAGACAATCATATGCTCAACATTGTCGTTTTAGATGCTAAGGACGTGTCCAAGCTCTCTTGAAAGTTATGAGAGGGGGCCTGCAGAACCTGCTTTACAACCTTCTTGGACATCATTTCTCCCAAAAGCGAGCAAAAGCTCTTTGCGCTAGAAACGAGCTGTCCCCCAAAAGTGGCCTGCACAATTACGTCGTCATCGAGGCAAACACAACGCTTGACGCTCCGATCGGAGCGCACCGCCGAGAGCGACTGCACCGTGTGCTCCGACACCATGGGAGCCCACCTGCAGGTCGGAGTCTTCCCATGGCTTCCACATTTGGAAGCCGTTGTTTGTATGAATACGATACGATATGTTACTATGCTGCTTGGCGTGCGATGGCGGTGCATGCTACTGGTCAGCCCTTCTTCATCCACATATCAGCAGACTGTGCATGGGCATTCTGTCAAGACCGCCAAGACGGTCCTTACTCACCAACGACTATATTGGACCAAGGACCAAACTCTATCTTCACCAAAACATTCGACCATGATCTGCAAGGGAGCTTCCCAAAACATGTTGGCCTTGTTGGCAGCGCTTGCTGCCAGCAAGCAGCCCACAGCTGCCAACTGTTCATCATACACCGCCAAAGGCAATGGCTTTGTCCTTGTCAGCACCTGCTGCCAGCAAACAACGTCCGACGTCCTGGTGCCCAAGCTCGGCGGCGGCATGCAGGAATGTGTTTCCATCATCGGGCATGTCCTTGTCCATGCCAGCTTCCAGCAAACAGCTCACAACTTCTGGCTGGCTTGGAGGTGCGTGGCGCGGACACGTTCGAGCCCGTCAAAATCCGCAACTCCTTCAATATCACCCCCACCAGCTGCACGGAAAAAAAACCTCTGCAAGATCGCCTTCGTCCGGGGTGATGTATGGCCGCACAACCACCACAAAGTCCTCATGTGTCCATGGATCTTCTGGACTCAGCAAATCCTCAGCAGTCTTTAGAATATAGTTGTTGAAATTACTATGTTACTGCAAATGATCTCTGGAAGGTTCTCAGGTTTACATGTAACATCAGATACAGTATTCATTCATATTTAGTATGCCCTTATGAATTAGAAATATATTATGGATGGCGCTGACGTTATCTTCATTCTAATGTTGCATCAATTGTCTGTATGTTTATATTTTCTACATCTTACAAGAGCAATGTCTAATGCTTCATAGACAATACGTGTAACCATCTCACTTTAGGAGCCACTCTTTGCAGTCACGAGGGCAATATCTGCATCTCATCCGGCTTATGAAACAAGCAAGCAACGCCCACCAACCCGCAACAGCACGAAACTATGGGCGATCCAAATCCACCCTGGCCTCGCAGGACGCAAGAGTCAACAGCTTTCGCTGAATCTGCTTATCAGCAAGAAATGCATGAAGCCAACACATCCAAAGTTGAGCAAAGCGCTTTCCAGTTTTTGCTGCCACCAGCATTTGGGTAAGATGCCACAACAGCGTAGCCTCAAATGAGTGCGGGTCAAAACAATAGGCGCCCAAAACGGAACCCCGGTAAATGGAAGCAAGGACTGATCCCTGCTGTCCCCTGGTGGTTTCATATTGGATTAGTTTTGACCCATACCCAAATGGTGGTTTCATATCGGTTGAGGTTCGACCCGTACCCAAATGGTTGGCCTTTTCCATGATCATCCGTCTGGGCAAGTCCCACCCGATGCCCTTGGGCGCCCTGCCAGGAGACGGGGGGGCGCATGCGCTGCGCCTCGACCGTGTCAGAACTTACCCGGCGTTTTAAGGGGAAGCCACCAGCAACAGAACCAGGGAGTGGCCTCAGAGTGGCATTTTGTTGGAGCTTGGATCTTGATTTCCAGCTTGGGTCCTTCTGAAAGACATCATATTTACTTGGGGGCGCATGAAGCAGATCATCGAAGGCCCGTGGGCCGAAATGTGCAGTTGATCGAACATGGGCGGACAATGTGCGCCTCTGACAAGTTGCAAGATCTCTGGCGTTCTGCCCATACAAGTTGTATGTTCAAGGGCTTCATCTGGCCATACAGCTTGGCAATGTCTTGGTTCCGTCAGCCCTAAATGGCCTGCACATCCCTTCCTAGCAAGAAAGCAGCTAGGGGGCACAACAAAAGGGATTCTGAACAAAATGACAAAGCCAACAAACGAAACACATACTCAAAAGTCCTAAGCGAAAAGCAGCACTAAGCATGCAAATGCTTGCAAAGCAACCTCCTTAGCACTGTGAATCGCATGCAACCTGTGACAAGTCCGCAACATTCGCCGATGGCAGGCCTCCTCTGACAGATAGGCTTTGCAAGACGGCAGGGGTGGCCCCAGGTAGGCCTCGGGTGAACATGGGGACAGCGGCCATCTCTGCAACAGTGTGAGCGGTGGGATGTACTCTATGACAGATTTGCGACTTGGTTCCCTACTTGGTTTGCTCAGGGTTTCAATTGGCGACGCTCGAGAAATACATACACTTGTTGGCAGGAAATTACAATCGCGTTTAACATTTGATGCTGGGCTGGTCAGAACACGAGCTGCCAAACCTTCTGTACAACAGCCGTCACACCAAAACACACCTCTTGATTGCTTCCTACTTCAGGCAGCTCAATGAACTACAGGGGGTTCCAATCACGTTTCAGGAAATGTCAGTTTCCCTCAGGACTCTAAGCTGCCTCGCTCACTGGCAGTTCTGTACCCGAAAACGCCTCGGCAACTGTGGTGGACTGACCTCGTTTCCTGCTCGGAGTTCTTCCCAGCCTCAAGGCGGTAGCCCGCAGCGAAGCGTGCTGCCGCCTAAAGCACCGCCAGAGAGGCACCAACTTGGTACATGTCAGGCTGTGATCACAACAATGCGCGCGAGCAAAACACGTGTATTTCTAGACCAGCAAAGTGATAAGCCTCCACAAGTCATGATGCATGAAATACTTGCCGCGGAACCATGCTCTACTGCTCTGCTCTTCCGTTGTAAGTAAAATATGATCGCTGCTAGAACAAACAAGTTTTATACATGCGTTCACCCATCTGAGGTAGATCATGCAAGACATAGGAAGCTTGAAGGAAATTCCAGAGGCACACGATTTACCCAAAGATAGTCAGTGACACATTGCCACACCTTCACTGTTGGGGATTCGGGAGCCCAAGAGTGCTGTTGCAAGAGTCCTTGAGCCCTATGCACACTGGAGGGATTCAAGAAATGGGTGTGGGTCAATATTCTGGTGTGGAACGTTCCGCGGTGACGCGGACGTCTGGAACGAGTCAGTTACGCAAGGTCGGTTGTTCCGGACCTCTGGGAAGACATGCGTGGAGTCCTCAAGCACACGTTCATTTAGTGTAAGATAGATAGATGGATGGATGAATGGATGGATGGATGGGTAGATGGATGGGTGAAGCGACTAGTGGCGCGCGGCCTCACCTCCCCCGCCATCGTTGCCGCCCTCGCGTCATTGGGACACCGATGCGCTGTAGTCAGGCCCGCCACCTGCGCCAGCCGATGCACAAGGTTGAGAGGCAGCCACCCAAGAAGCCTTCAAGGACGACATGCGCCAGGGCTTTGGAGACAGAGAAGTCTGTGAAGGATGCCCTGCGTCGCAAGAAGCGCAGCTACTCACATGGCGCATGTGTGTGCATGTGGACTTGGTGGCAAAGTGCTCCGCTGCGTCTGGAACACGTCTGGAACGGGTCTGGAACGGGGTCTGGAACGGTTACGCGAGTGGCTTGCACTTCGGAATGCTAGCAAGCAGCATTTAAACATGGTCGTTTCAACAATGTGACGACCATTTCTTTCTCCTTCTTTCTTGCTCCTTTGCTCCTTCTTTCTTGCTCCACGCCATTTCAGCCTTGGCCATTGCACTTGCACACCCGACAAAGAACGACCATCTGAATCAATACTCTAGAAATACATATACATAAACAAGGTCTGGAACGGAAGGTCTGGAACATGTTTCTAGGCAAGGTCTGGAACGGAGGTCTGGAACGGAGGTCTGGATCGCATGTGGGTTCCGGACCCTGTTCCGGACCTTATAAATTGACTCGCAGCCAAATAGACGTTACGTGCGCGGCATGTGGACTTTGCGCCCTGGGATCCCAGTAGGAGCTCGAGCTGTTGGAGCAAGAAACGGCCCATGAGCCTTAGCCCAGCACGGCGACTCGCCATCTGCCGCCGCCGCCGGCGGCACTTTTGGACCGGAAGCCTGGGCGCAAAGCTCCGAACGCCGATGCTAGCTGATGGCACTGGAGCCAGGTTGGCCTGTGTCTGTCCACTTTTCACATGCAGAAGGAGGTGTGTATGGACTTCGGAGGTGCATCGTCTTTGAGTTGTGCGCCAGCTGCTTTGTTGTAGTTGGGGCAACCTGAATGGATGTTGGCGTGGTGGTTGACGGAGTTATGCATTCATCTTGCAACAGTCCGCTATTCTATGGTGGCAAGCAAGCAAACGCTCCACCTGTGGGCATCATGTCTCCATCGTCTTGCACCCAAAAGCATTGCTGACGAGTATACTTTGGTGTGCTTGACTCCCAACGAAGGAGCCCAAAACTATGCTGCTTTGCAGGGCATACTTGCCTCTCCTCTTGCAATATCTAGAGAACCCACTGCTACATTGCCGCCGCGCGCGTCGGTTTGCCCGTCAAGCCACAGCGGTCCCGGCCCAAAGTGGCACAATCCCAGAGGACGACGCATCTGCAAGGTGCGCTGTTTGTGACGCCTTTGCGTCCACCGCTCCAAACCAGATGGAGCCAATCCCCAGCGACGACTATCAACTCAAGGCTCCCGGCAGGTCCAAACGCGAGCGCAGAACTCCGCTCGCCAGGCCTGGGGCGGTGGCAACGGATTCACGTCTTTGCGTCCGGCTGAAAATGCCCTTTTCGAGGGTTTGAATAGACAGGTGCTACTTCTCAACAACTGGTAAAGTTACGCTTGAAGGCGCAAAGAATTCGTAATTTGGATTGGCATGACCGAAAGCCTTGCAGAGGCACGACCTCATTCAAACCAGCAACACCTGCATGTCAGCCATGTCCCATTGTTATTGAGCTGGGGCTGGCCTTAAATCACTCCAACATGACCTGGGAACATCCCAAGCGGCATACTGGCCTCATTGTTTTACCATGGTCAAAGTCACCCCCTAAGTGGCGGGTTGAAGGGAAACAACCCCATTTCTGACTTTGACCACCCCCAGACACCGTCAAAATGACCCCTGGCATATCCCCCAAGACCTTTGGAACTCCAAGCGTCACTCTGAACTCCCGACGGGGCCGAAGAAAGGCACCGAAGGCACCGACGACCCCCCCCCCGCCTCTCCGAAGCAAGAGTCGCCCAAGCTGGCCGCGCGCCGGGGGAAAAACCACGTGGACTGCTCCCATGGCCGGGCGGCTTCTTGCTTGCAACACAAACATGGAAAAACATCAAACCGGCCAATCAGCATAGGACGATGGCCGAGAAAGGGCCAATAACATCTGCTTTTGCTCATCTTTCACGGGCATGTGGTCAATTTGAAGAGAAACATATAAGAACATGTATGCGATGCTTTGGTAAATCGATCATGATGCGCTGCATCTTCTCCTCTCTGGTCAGCTTCTTACTGTTTGATTCTGTAGACAACGCCAATGACAAAAGCAATACATACGGTCAGTCAATGTGATAGATGTAATCTGGATAGCATACTTGGTTGCATGAAGACTCACAATCTGCATGATGATCAACAGCTGACGCTGCAAGATAGCACCACACCCTACAGTGCCTGTCACCCACGTACCACGCGCTTAACACTCAAGAAGGGGTTGGTAACAAGACACCTCCTAAACACCCAGTAGATAACAAACCGGCGCAAGCCATGAGCCAATAAATGAGGGGCAGAACACGCGCAGAAGTGTGCCTGCCAGTTTATCTGGACCTGTGGATCATTTTTGGAGGCTTCTCAATGCTGCCGGGCATACTCGTCCGGCTGAATGACGCCACCTGGGCAGACATCACTCGCTTCAAAGTGTATTACTTCCTCCGAAACAAACTGTTTCCTCTAACGTGAAGGCATCTCAAGCGTAGGCAAGGATTTCTGCAAGGTTTCCTGGACATGTGGACGACCCTAAGTCCTTTGCAGCTGCCAATACTTCACAGACTGGGCGCCGCTCCAGGGTACTGATAGGAGAACATGGTCCAAAGGCGGAGAGGGTTGTGCTCTGGCGGCCTCACACGAGTGGGACTGCGGACCGCACGAAGCACGCAAACTGGCTGTATGGCCAAAGACCTCTCCGTTTGGCCACAGCAGCTTAAAACTGACTTCCACCCTTCCCATGACTCCTCCTTTGCAAGAGCGGCTCTGACTCGCCTAGTCCGAAATGTCATGCGCTCAGTGTCAGCATACTCGCAGTTCTGGAAAAACCAAGCACCACTCAGAATCAACAACAAGGTTGATGGTGGTTTGACCAAAGAGGTAGTTGCCTAGCCATTCCACAGCTTCATAGGAGTCACCTCCGGTGAGCATGTCTGAGGGTTTGGCGTGCCGCCAGACAGCATCCAGTCTTCCACCTTGGCCTGTGGTAACTCCGTGAAGGGTGCGCCAGGAGGACCAGCAGTGCCCGATGAGCAAACAACAAGGAAAAAAACAACGAAAGCGAAGAGGGGGAGCCGCGCACCCTCTCCATTTTGCCTGGAGATCTTGATGGTTTTGTGATAGCTACGTGGGCTCACCTTCAAGCTATTGCAAACATGGGCTGATCCCCCTGCTTTTTCCAGCGAGTCCGTTTTTTGTTTAATCAGAATGCACCCGGGTTGTATGATGAACCAAACATGAGTGACATGGGGATGACACAGACACACACACAATGCTCAATCACTAAAACCAGGCGAGTCTGCAGCAGTGGCAATCCCCCGGCACCGCTGCTCAAGATGGCATCGGCTGAAATCAGGCTCGCTGTGACAAGGATCTACACATACCTGGTCCAAAGTTCATCCGCAACATGTGGGCTTTCTTTCATTTGACCTGGTGCTGCCTTCGGCTGACCATGAATCACGATGTTTCCTCCTGCAATAAGGACAAATACCATATCTGGTTTCTTGCTGCTTTGTCCCGTCGAGCCTCGTTGCTGGTGTGCGAAGCACTAAAGAACCCGATGAAAACACCCACCTCCACCTGGCAGGGACGCGGGGCAACATGTTCTGAGGTGGCCCACGACAAACACGACAAACACGACACACGAACACGACACACAAACAGAAACACAAACACAAACACAAACACAAACACAAACACAAACACAAACACAAAAACAAAAACAAACACAAACACAAACACAAACACAAACACAAACACCCACCCACCCACCCACCCACCCACCCACCCACCCACCCACCCACCCACCCACCCACCCACACACACACACAAACACACACACACACACACACCCACACACCCACACACCCACACACCCACACCCCCACCACCCCACACCCCACACCCCCCACACTACCCAACACACACACCACCCACAAACACACGCGCAAACCACCCACCCAACCCACCCACCCCACCCCACCCACCCACCCCCCCACCCCACCCCCCCCCACCACCACCCCCACCCACCCCCACCCCCCCCACCCCACCCCACCCCAACCCCACCCCCACACCACCCCCACCCCACCCGACCCCACCCCGCACAGCTCCGGCCCCCACCCCCACCCCACCCCACCCGCCCCAACCCCCACCCCACCCCACCCCACCCCCCCCACCCCACCCACGCCCCGCCCCTCCCCACCCCACCCCACCCCACCCCCACCCACCCCCCACCCCACCCCACCCCACCCCACCCCACCCCACCCCACCCCAACCCCCACCACCACACCCACACCCCAACACAACTCCCAACACCACCCCCACCCCCAACCCCAACCCAACCCCAACCCCAACCCCACCCCAACCCCACCCAACCCCAACCCCAACCCAAACCCAACCCCAACCCAACCCCAAACCCCAACCCCAACCCCAAACCCCAACCCAACCCCAAACCCCAACCCAACCCAACCCCAACCCCAACCCAAACACCCCCACCCCCACCCCCAACCCCCACCCCCCACCCCCACCCCACCCCAAACCCCACCCCAACCCCAAACCCCAACCCCAACCCCAACCCCAACCCACCCCAACCCAACCCCAACCCCACCCCAAACCCCCAACCCCAACCCCAACCCCAACCCAACCCAACCCAACCCCCCCAACCCCAACCCCACCCCCCACCCCCCCCAACCCCACCCCCACCCCACCCCAACCCCAACCCCAATCCCCAACCCCAACCCCAACCCCAACCCCACCCAACCCCAACCCCAAACCCCAACCCAACCCAAAACCCCCACCCCCACCCAACCCCAACACCCACCCCACCCCACCCCACCCCACCCCACCCCACCCCACCCCACCCCACCCCACCCCACCCCACCCCACCCCACCCAACCCCACCCCACCCCACATGTTGCAATGCTCATCGACAAGTCAACCCACCAGCAAGAGGCCATGTCCTTGGTCGACGAGCAAGCTCGTGAGGCACAGGCAGCGTGTTTGTACCGCCTGTTCATCCTGCAAGGGCACCATGCTAGCCTCTGAAACACGACAGGAATCCCAGTCGTTGAGCACAGACCATCGTGCAAAGTCTTCGCGTGGTGGCCACAAAACTCGCGAGGGCCTGGCCTGGGTGTGGGCACCGGTCTGGACCATGTCCTGAGCCTGCGGGGCCAGGGCAAGGGATTCGTTTCTTCCGTCCGAAGTCCCTGCCTTGCAACTGCACATGGAAGCATGGCACCGTTTTCGGCACCAAGCCCCAGCCAGCTGATGTGATTTTGATGGATTGGGTGGGCGATAGTCACTCGATTGACCTGTAGATTTCGCGACCAGACTTGAGCAAGCTGTCCACAAGCACTGTGAAATATTTGGACATGGGTCATGCTACACTGCAAAAATTGACGGTCATGTTCAAAAAGATGTGTGTAAAAAAGAAGTAGTAGATTGCTCGTCCAAAGCCGGAGCAGGCGATAGGATCGTCGGCCAAGAACAAGTGAGTCGTCATGGTAGCTTGTCAAACGCTGCGTTCGCCCCATTTTCCCGAGGTGGACTACGGGTCATGCAACACAGCATAGCCCAAAAAGTGTAAGTAAACTCGATGTGAGGCCCTCTTCGCTTGTCAAGGACTTCCGGATAGGGGCACCTCTCAAAACAGGAAATTCAGAC